GGGGGAGCAAGGGCAGGAGATGTGTGGGGGCGGTCCGCTGCGCGTGAGTGCGCTAGGGGGAACCGGGTGTCTCCGCCCGGTGGGACCGGTGGGCGCTGGGAACAGGCGCCATCCCCTGCGTCCCCGCCGCGGCCGGGAGAGCGAGAACAGGGGCGTGTAAGAGATACGTAAATACAGATGTGAATATGAATATATAAGTAGCACTGCGACAAAAAGTGAAGGTGGATGAGGAGAGGTGTTTTAGTGCCAGTCATCTGTGAGTTTTTGCAGTCCTATCTCTGCATCCCTGCTATGGGAATGCAGTTCCTGGAAAAGACAAGAATGCTACAAATTCTGCGCTATTTTTAGTAGGAATTTATGAGTACCGAGAGAAAGAAGAAAGATAATTATTATGTGATATATATGGGTAAAGAAAAAGCGTATTTGCTGGCACAAAAAGGACAACTCAGCACGCACAGAAGGCGGGCAGTTGATCATCTGTTCCTGTTAAATTAAGAGCAGAAACACCCACCACCGTTTGGCTGTGATACTTGGCTCCAGACAATACATGTAATGCTGTGCAGGACGAACAAAATTATGAGGAGCACATTACATGATGAAAATTATCTCCTCTAACACTGCTGTACCCTCAGATATTTTCCTGTATTTTACCAACAATCTTTCACGGGTGGGCTTGTAAACTGTGTAGAGTCCTTATGGTTGGACTCAATGATCTTAAAGGCGTTTTCCAACCTAAATGGTTCTGCGGCTCTCAGAGCTCGGTGGTTTGCTGGTGGCTGCAGCAGCAGCAGGGTTTTCCACAGCAACGTTTGCCCTGGCTAGCTTTGGCCTGCTGGGCTCCGCAGCATCTGTGGCCAACCTCTGCTCTGGGAGGGGAGCACGGCCAGCCCTGCTCGGCTCTCGTCTCGGTACCCAGGGCAATGACAGCGCAGCAGGGATCAGCAATAGTAAGGCAAATGATGCTGGTTCCCACTAAGCGAGCGCTGGGGGAGGGGACTGTTTTCCAGTACTGTGTGGTAGCTAATTGTGTTTATCTTACTGCTTTAAAAATGAATCACATTGAGAGGAAGTGCATGGTGTTTGTTTACTGCATCTCTAGGACATGGTGGTGCGTGCATTTGAGACATTTGTCTTACCAGCCCAAAAGACTGGAGTCATTTGAAGATTATGTAAAAATAAAGGTGCAAATACCCTTTAAAACGAATAATAATGGGACCAGGCCTTCAAGAATATCCCTTATTACTGCACAAAGAGACACAGAAAAAGGAAAACCAAATCAATGAAAACCACAAAGGAATGGTAAAGTAAGGAAATTATTTTCTGTTTCTAGTTACAAAAAGTCTCTAAATACTGTAGATTAGTTAATAAGTGCATGGCTGTACTGTTCTCATCCTCTCCTCTGACTCCCTGCAACAGAAATGACTGTGCAGTATGATTCTGCCGGTCACAGAGTGACAGAGGTGACTGCATCAATGCTGGAGGCACAAGACTTATTTTCATCTTTTATAAGCTCTTGAATTGATGAAATCATGTCTTGTTTTAAAAGACCTGACTATAGTGACATAAAAACTGAACAAGAGGCACAGCCTGACAAATTAACTGAGCTGCAGTCAAACTAGAATAGACCGGGAGAGCAGAGTTTGTTTATTCCAATTCTAAAGTGACATTTTAGCGCTTTCCTTTTCAAAATCAGTAACATTTCTTGTTTGCAGAACAAACACTGTTTTCTTATTCTTACAGAATACACTGATTTAATAATTCTGTGTGCTTCCAGAAAAATGTATCTGGTCTAATCGAGGAAATATGTATTCTAGTTTTAAGCTCTCCAAATCAGTAATTCTTTCTGCTTGCATTTTGTCCTACTATTTCCACACCACCAGTATAACATGAAATGGTGAATTTTGTTTGTGAAATAGTTTGTATTAATATCAGAATAGACCGTATGCTCCCTGCTCACTTCCACTCCTTTACTTCATAGGAATAATATTTTAGATTTTGTTGAGAGTATGCAAATGAGAAAGGCAAGCAAGATTTAATTTATAATTAATTATAAATTGTTAATTAAATGTATAATTAATTTTGTTGAATTGCAGTAGGACCATGCACCGGGTACTATAGAAATTAGTAGTTAAATATGTAGTCTCTAATATTTACTATTCATTATCCCCAAAGTAACTTTGGTGCTCTCTGACAGAGGATTCTATGTAAGGGCCAAGTTCTATTATTCTGTCATCTGATGGAATTATTTATTTTTGCATTAGTAGTATAAAAAATAAAAAGTGATCTTGGCGTAGTTCTGATGGACTTTAAGAATAGTTGCAATCAACTCTTCTCTCTTTTTTAAACTGAATTGCACTGTAAAGTATTATTGTATTCAATACATATGATTCATCATTCTGATTATCTTGAATGTTGTCATTTATGTGATACTCTGCTTAATCCTTGCTTGTTACAGTAATGGAAAAAGCCATCCAAGCACCAAAGGACTAAATAAACCAATTTCTCATGTGAAGTCTTCTCCTGGAAGATTAGGCAAAAATGTATCAAGTGCCATTGAAAAGGTAAATAATTCCTCTTTTGTTGTTGTTTACAGAAAAGGGGTACTTCGTTTATGTCAGCTTCTTGTTATTACATCGCATACTTTCATATCTTTTCAGACTTACCACGACACTCAAGATGGTAGCCAACCAAGTATTTTTAAGAAGGGAAAAAAGCAGCTGGATAACAATACTCAGTCAAAAAGGTAATTGTATGTTAAGATTGCCTATTTAATTTGTGCACGTTTCAAACTGGTATATAAAATGCTTGTGATGAAATCATGGCTTCTCTGTTTCTCCTTGACTTAACTGGTCCCAGAATTCAGCATTTAGGAGGTCAACAAATTATCAATATGGAAACTTACTTAGTGAGTTCTCAGGCAAAACCAGAATAAAATAAAACCAAAAAAACCCAGTAGTAGACAGTGTTGTCTCTGCCAAAAACATGAATTTTACCTTGCTACTTTGTTACAGAGTTTCCATGCCAGTTTTAGCTTCATTCATGTAGATACATGTCCTTGAAGGAGTTAGCAAGACCTTTGTAAATTGTTGTTTCAAAGGCATTAATCATTGTAACAGGATGCAATCTCTCTTTTTATTTAGGATCCCAAGTGTTTGCACATCACTCCACAGAGTACAAGGACCAAAGAGGAGTCTCCCAGAAAGGCAGCAAAATGAATCTTTTCTGCACAGGATCCCTCCTAGTGTTAAGGGCAGCACACAAGGTAGCTTCTGTAGGGTTAAAGATGTCCCAGTGCAGCATTTTTATTGCAGTAAAAAAGAACAGTTGGAAAAAAATAACGAAGTACATGTTGCTGAAGCTGGTCCATGCTCTTCTAAATGGCAAGAAGCATCTGTAGATGAAATGTTTCTTGATTTTGAATCGGTACAAATTATTAAAGAAGATGCTGAAGATGATAGTGCCAGTGATCTCTCTGATTCAGAAAGGATTCCCATTCCCCCATCTCCCTGCACGCCACCAGAACTCATTCTCAGAGCTGAAGAAATTGATCCAGTTTGTTTGGAAGATGCCCCTGGTATGGGTTTTAAGGAATCAGAATATTACTACCCAGACTTCCTCCCACCTCCTTTCAACTCATGGGACTTGAAGCAACTGGCCATCTTTGTTAATGTAGAGGGTAAAACTGAATTTCGACCAAAGCCAACAGGATTTCTTGAGAAATACATTGATCGCCTCTTGCAGCTGGAATGGCTGCAGATGCAGACTGTACAGAATGAGAAAGGAAAGGCAGCCAAAGCCAGGCCACAGACTGCTCCCGGCTCCATCCGTACCCTAAAAAGCCCTGGCAAAGGCAAAGCATTGCTCAGCCCTTTGTCTACCAAGCAAATGGTTCCCCAAGAAAGTGTTACAAAGCTGCCCAGAAGCTATTCAGGTCACAGGGGAGATTCATACTCTGAAGAAAGTCACCAGTTACGTTCTCATCCAGGTCGCTTGAAACTTTCTGAGAGAATGGGATGTGGACTGTCTTCTCAGAGACAACCTGGTGATGTGAGAAGTGAACTGACAAAAAAACCTACTGCAAAGCAGCAGCTTTTCAATATGCAGCCCTCTGAGAATGGTTCTAAAATTCAAAGTGTTGGTAATATCAGACCCCCTAAGCAAACCCTAGTATTCCATGGTTCAGCTGCTCCCATGAAAGGCTTAAAAACATACGCGTGTGCAAATCCAAAGAAAAATGGCAATACCAACAGTTATGTTCCTTCTAAAAAAACAATAGGGGACAGGAAAATAAAAACAAATGGCACAATGCAAACATCATGCAAATTTAAATGAAGAAAAATTTATTAGTGAATGTTGATGCTTCTTGACTGCTAGAAAGCATTTGGCCAGTGCAGAAGGGTCATGTTTTCTTCCTAGGAGGATCCTGAGAAAATAGGTTCTTGATGCCTGGTTCTAAGGCAGCACTGTTCATTTCAATGCATTTGATCTTAAGCCAGCAAGGCCAACAGGAAATCTTTTCCCTGAAGGCAAGTGTCTTCCATTTGTCTTTCCTCAAAAATATTTATGATTGCTCAATGAAGATAATAGAAGCAGAGTATGAAAGTTTAGAAAAATACATAATTATAACATGTCCTGCAGTTGAAGTCCACTGAAGTCTGGGGTGTTACCTTGGTGTGTTTGAGAGAACTGGATCCATGCTCTTTTTCTTGAACAGAAGTGCTTATTTTTGTGAGGCAGGTTTGATGGTGGTGGTTTCTGATGGAAAAGGACTCAACTGGTTTTCTAAAATAATAGAGCATGCTTGTCTATGCAACGTCAAACTTACTCTTCGCAGATGATGATGAATTGGATTTTTTTAATGAATTAGATTTTTTTTTAATAAGAATGGAGATAATGTTTTGAAGTATTTTAATGTAGAAAGGATTCTTTTTAGAACAAAACATTATTAGGGAGCAGACAGCTTCGATAGTAACAGATTAAGAGAACTGAATGCATATTTTTATACCCAGAAATCTTCACGGTGTTTACAGCTTTCCTTGAAGTTAATTTTGTAAGCCTTGATGCTTTTTGTCAGTTAGAGGAAATGACCAAGTTTCAAATTGCACTTGGATATTTGTGAGTAATGCAGAATGAGATTATTCCTAGAGACTCTTGTCACCTAATTTTCAGAACCCTTAGCCTCTCAAAACATAAAAAGAGATTCTTAGATGGTGAATGTAAAGGCTGTTGTAAATTCAAGGAAATATATATTTTGATACAACGGATATCTATTTTCAGTCACCCAAGATTACTATATCAGTGAGTATTCAAGTGTCAGTTCAGCTGTTACAATTTCAAATCAATCACAGCAGCTGGGGACACAATCTTGATAAAGATGAAATTCTAGAGGATATTTTGTACTTCCATTTTAAAATTAAATAGCAGCATTAACTTCATCCTCAGCCAGCAGCAGCAGTGAACTGTTTCTGAGAAGTGGGCTGAGGTCTGATGGACCAGATTTTACAAGTGGATCCTTCACATTGTGATAGAAAATGAGAAAGTAGCAAATACTAAAGAGTACATCGTGTATATATTTAAATTGCACTTGTCTTGTTGGTTTCATCTTGGTTTTAAGATGCTTAGCTGTTTCTATTCTCTCATTGTGCCTACCAGATCTTCAGCTTTGTGAAACTTCAAAGCATGGATTTATATGTAGTTTAAAGTGTGAGAGTATTAATAAATGTAATGAACTAGAGTATTTTACAGTACATAAAACACTGCTCAGGAATAGTCTAAGAAATACTTTTAGTGGTTTTTTTTCCTAGTCTCCTGGAGACCAGATGTGAAATTTTAAATGGATAAAGGAAAGAAATGTAATATACAATATTATATTTCCATATTTAGTATTTGTGAGGTTACAGTTAATACGAATTGTAGTTGCATGTACATTCAGCTCTATGCAATTAAAGTGAAACTTAGTCTGACATGCTGAAAAATGAACTGGCTGTGTCAGAGGTGTGGTGAAAGGTAGAGGTTGGCATTCAACACCAGCAGCTGCAGAGGACCAGGACATTCTATTGTTGCTGTTTCATCCGTTTGTTTTGTTCCAGACTCATCATGTACTTCAGCTTTTTTTTTTAGATAAAAGGTTCTTGCATCCTGTGCTAGAATTTCAAGCTCTGGCCAAATTCCACAAGCCTTCATTAGTCAAGTTTTCCTGACTAATAGTAGTGAAAGTTAGGACTGCTCTTGCCAATAAGCACTACTTTAGTGCACGATTTTAGTACGCCGTTTTAGTGCACGATTTTAGTATGCTCTTTTAGTGCACTGTTACAAGCACCAAAAGCAAGGTGAGCAGGATGAAGTCAATAATCAAAATAGCAGTTTTTTTAAACAAATTCTGTTAGATGCTGTAATTAATTTAGCATGTTATTATAGCACTGGGTATTAGTGTATGCTAAATTTTCCTCTGAAATGTTACTCTATATTGATGCTTTCCTAGGTTAGGAGGGCATGTAGATACAGGCACATTTTGCATGATCACTTCTTAAAGAATAACTAGTGTTTCAGTGGGCTTTGACCAGAGCAAAGGCGATTGGCACTGAGAAAAGGTTTTTCTCACAGACGTAGGAAAGTTTTGTTTTAATGTGCTTTTGGATGGACATGAATCTGATGTCAGAGACTAAAAGCAGGTAGAGATGGTGATGCCACTTAAAATAAGTGAATACTTGTTCAACATTAAGTGCTGGCTGTGATCTGGCCAAGTAAGTTTGTCTTGCACAATAATCACACAAGTCTAATTTTTGTTAGTTGATTTGATACTTCTTACACATTCTTTGTTCGCATACAGAAATAGAAATTCTGTGTTTGCCTCAAGAAACAGTTCTTGGCATAAGCCGACCTGCAAGGGTTGGATTTTATCCTGCAGCACTTTTGCTTCCATTTTAGCTATGTTCTGGGCCTATAGATAAAAAGAGCTCCTTTTAGGGAGAGGACTATGGGTTACGTTTCCTTCATTTTGTATTGAGGGATATTGTCTTTAGAAGCACTTCTGAATATAGCAGAAAAGTTTATTCCATCAAATACATTCAGTTTGGAACTGAAATACTTCTACAGCACAGGTTTGTGTGGTCATTTATGTATTTTTTGAACTATGTTTAGCAATATGATCGTATGTATGTCTAAGCCTTGCATTGACAGTGCTTCTTGAGAAACAAGTTTACTGTGATGTGAGATATTTAAATAGAGTGATTATTTTTTTTTCCTAGAGAATGTAAAGGTTTAATGTTCTGTAGTAATGCCTACAGAACAAAGATACTCAGGTTGCATTTGCAGATTGTACTTCAGTTATATGAGTATAAACTGAACAACTCTGTTGTTTTTGATGAAATTACCTTGTTACAAAGATGTGAAGAAACAGAATTTTAGTCCTATATGTATAGTTTTCTGTAGTGCTATACTGTATTTTTAATGCATAAAATGAAAAGCTTTAAAACAATATTGTTTTTCTCTTGACATGTTTCTTTTTTCCTAATTACTTGCATCTCTGCAGTGAAATACTGCGATCACTTAAAGTTTTACATCCCCTGTACGTCCCCCTGCCAACCTTGTGGTAGCTTTCAGTTACACACAGCAGGTCTGAAGTTTCTGCACAAAGCCTCCAACTCCTGAGGCAGTCGGCAGGACAGACACCAAGCCTCTCCAGTAAATCAGAATTCATGCTCCAAAAAGGGGTCATGGTGGTGTGAATGATGTGAACCATGCTGGGAAGAGGGGCTTCACATCTTCCTCAAGTGGAAGAGCCTTGCAAGGAGGACTTGGATCAATCCCTGCTGCTGGTTTGGTATCCTAAATCATGGGGTGGCCACTTGTTAAGGCTGATAAAGTGAACTGTATTTTTCTTTCCAAATGAGAGATCATGTTTGGTGGTAGGAGTTCAGGGAAGTGGGGTAATTGTGTTTCTCACAGACACAAAAAGTCTCAGCAGTATTCTTAGTGATATCGTTGAGTGCAGAGCAAAGGGGTGGCCAGAAGGAGGGAGCACACATCTCCCACCGCTGCCTGTCCCAGGATGCTGCAGCTCCCAGTCCCTCTGCCCGTGTCTGCCAGTGCCCCTCTGCTTTGTGCTGCTGACCCAAGGTGACGGCAGGGGGCTGTAATGCTGCAGGGGGTGGGTGTGCTTCTCTCATGGGACTGAACTGTCTTGTTTGACTCCAGACTGCTTAATTATGCTGTAATCCCATTATTGCTTGTGTCCTTTCTGTTTCATTTATTGTTGATTGAGGTAACGTTTCTCTTGTATTTGCCATTTAAAGGATCTTGTTAGAAGATTGAGAGTATTTGGACAGTTTTTTCAATCGATACGTGCTAGTTTCTTTGAAGCTGACATTATAGTTGAAATTTCTGCATTATGAAATTGTCTATAATGTACTGTGTTTTGCCTTATTTTAAAGGTATTTAGCCTTTGTTGCTCCCATTGACTAAACAGACCATTTATCTGTAAAGACTGGAACTCGATTAGCTGAAAATTTGCAGCCCAGATTTTGATGTTGGTAATGATGTGTTCTTACTGGTTTGAACTTTCTGTGGCTATTTTTGCTAGTAATTTCATTGGAAAGTGATCTTGTAATTCGAAGTTACTGTATATTCACTGTATTAAAAGTGAGGTACTGCCTATTTGTTACTTAGTTGTATTTTTTTAATAATCCACAAGATGGCACCTCTGAATTTTTCGTCTAGAAAATTTCTTCACTGCACTGCAGTGTAGGGCAGAGCTCACAGCCCTGCATCTCTCAGCTGTATTGCTGCCAGTGGCCAAGCTAGGTGGTTAAAACTACGTGAGTATTTCTCCTCCATATGGCAGTCACTTCTGCAGTGGCTGTGTTAAGGCATCATAATAGGTGAAAATAACAGGAAAAAACTACTTCAGCATGTTCATACCTTTTTATTTTAATGCCCTAATCAATGAGTTTCACTTTCTCTGTTAAAATCTCCAGGTCACTCAGAACATGATCCAACGAACAGCAGAGACGTGGGTAGATGCTTGCAGAGAACCACGTTCTCATGTTGCTAGTGTACATGGATAAGTATGTCTAACTTAATTTCACACACTGCATGTTCATATGTTCAGCTCAGACTAATCAAGAGGAAAATGAAGGGAGAGAGATTCAAAGGGGGGAAATGGCATTTGCTATTGCTGGAAATCCCTTTGTTGTTTTTGCAATCTTTATGTTAAGCTTCACAAAACTCCTCTGTGAGATATCTCACAAGAATTTTACAATCTGAAGGTTCTTGCTATTGGAGGTTTTCCTGATGTCTCAACCATTCCATGCTGTGCTGCTGTTTAAGCCTGT